ACAAGTGATTAGTAAGCAAAATAATTTTCTTTTCAAAGTAGTTGTTCGATGACACTGTATCAAAAAGTATAATCTGCAAATCATTAGCAAAGTAGTTCTCAGTAATTTACTGCATACTGGAAAAAGTCAAATATGACTGGAATTACTGTTTACTAAATGTTTGTACTATTAGAAGAGTTGTGTGAAGATTCGAGATTTAATAAGCATTAAGTGTTTCACAGAAACCAGAAAAAAAAAAAGCCTTAAAGCAGGAAAAAAAAAAAGTTAAATATCTTACCGACAAAGTTGACAAAATCCCCATGGTCTTTCCAAGCTGTCGTGTGCTGAACCGTCCAAAAAAATTACTTTGTACTCTTTTCGCCAATTAAAATATTCCCTACAAAAGTAAAGTAGAATATTTTATTTTAGTAGCTGAAAAAAAACCAACGAAATTACTTCAAACAGCAAAGAAGTTCTTGTTTGTACTTTACCGGTCATTTATTTGTCCACCTTTATTACCGTCTTTGTTATATCTTTTAATGTAAGCAGTTTCAAAAAAAAACGGTAAAAAGAAAAAACAAAAGAAAAGACAGTAGAAAATTGGTGAAAGTGCACTAATATTTAAATCATACATGTACGCAGTTTTATTTTGCATCAGATACTTCAAATAGGCTGCAAGTTGTTCAGCATCGCTGAAATCGTCAACGGCAATGAACGAATGCGGCGGTACATAGGGCTCAACTTGTTCACGTTTTAGTACCAACGGTATAATGGTATTTTGAAATCCTTGATTCCACAACTTTTCCGTCAGATAGTCTTTACAGATCGAATTTTCGAAAGTTATATAGAAGAAGTAACTAAACAAGAAAACAACTGGCAGTTTTTTAATTGCATATAATTATGCTTTTCCAATCATTTCCTCCTCAAAAGAATGAAACATTTTTACATGGATATGGAACTAAAAAAGAAACAGGATTTTTACTCGGTATTCAACATCTGCTGTTCACAGGGAGCTCCTCGGCGACATTTCAGTGTTCCACATGTACCATAAATGTCAATGTCAATAAAGGTCTGAAAAGAAAAACGATTTAAACTTTCTTCTATTTTACGGGTCTTCTTTGATTTGAATGTCTACTGCATAAAAAGTTTTCAACACAATGTGAAAAAAAAAAAAAAAAAAACTTTATAATTTTCAAGTTTAAAAAAATTTATGCAACTGTTTGTCCAATTCTTACCTGAAGTTGTTTCACGTATTTTTCTCGTATACTAAATGTAGTACAGTGACTAACAAACCAGGCAATTGGTCTAGTTTTATTATCAATTAGTTTCAGATCAACCAACTCATCAGCTGCTGGCTGTGACTGTGGTGCCAATTTGACTGTATATCCGTATGGTGATGATACCGGTGAATCTCGACGAAAATTTAGTGACATGTTAAAAAAATCACCAGCTCCACTTGGAAGATAGCTGTATGGGGGTGCTTCCTATAAGAGATTAAAATAAAAAAAAAAA